GATCATCGCCAAATTTAAAGCCGAAGAAGAAAGGAGACTGTCTCGTGATACTTAAGCATTGAATGACTCCGTAAATCTGGTATACCTTAAACCCAACTCTTGTCCATGGAAATATACCCACGTCATCCCATTGTAATCATCAATAATGAGAAGGAAACATATTTTCTTATTATATGATTCAGTTTGTGTTGGCCCACATATGTCTGCATGGACCAGTTTGAATGGAAGCTCTTGTTTTTCCTTCTTATGGGAGACCAATTACCATTCCTTTTTGTTTAATTAATTTCAAACTTCTGAAATTTAAATGCCCAAATCTGAAATGCCATAGAAAGGATTCATCAAAATTTTCAATACTCAAGGCATAAATTTCACATGAAGGCATTTCAAGAGGAAAAGCCTTGTTTTGAGCCATTTTCTCTTTAGCTCACACATTCATTTCAATTGAAATTGACTGAATACCCTTTCTGCATTAGTTGTCCAACACTTAAAAAAGATTTTGAGTCAAAACGAGAAGACATCATGAATTAATTTAGGATTACCTCCCTTTGTTTTTACTGTTATTACTCATTTTCCTTCAACATTTTGAAATTTCATATCCGAGCTTGACTTGTAAAGTGATTTTTTCATCCATCTGTACAAAGCTGCTTCGATTCCATGTCATGTGATTACTACAACCACCATCCAAATACCAAATATCATGTGAACTTTCTTGAGTACTCAGGCATGAGTAAAACAGCTGATCTGAATCATTTTTTAGAAAAAATTGCTTCACTTTTCTGTTGAAACTAGAAATCTCTTTGAGAATGATTAGGAATTCTACACTTTTGACATTTAAATTGAAAAATGTTTGATTCATGACCAGATTTCTTGCAAATACAACAATTAGATTCAGATTTACCTTTTCCATCTGGATATCTTTGGCTATTGTAGTTATTTCTACCTTGGCTACTAGAAAATTTCTCTCTTCCACGACCTCTTCGAGAATTTTGAAGCATCCCACTTTCTTTATTCTCTTCAACATTTTTCTTTCCTAACACTGTTACTTTTGATTGAAAAGCATGTTCTATAGTCTGAGTTGAAAATCTACTCCTTTGGTCATGTGCTTCAAGAGATCCACTTAATTCTTGTAATGAAAAGTTAGATAAATCTTTGGATTCTTCTATGGCTACTACATAGTCAAATTTTCCAAGCAAGCTTCTCAAAATTTTCTAAACAATTATTTTATCAGGAATAACAACTCCACAACTTCTTATTTAATTTACAATTCCAACAACTCAAGAAAAGAAGACTTGAACATTATCTTTCATCATCAAATTATCAAATTCTCTTCATAAATATTGAAGTTTAATGGAAATCACTTTTTATGATCCTTGAAATTAGCTTTTCATAAAATCCCATGCTTTTTTTTTATTTTGAATATATTTAAATTTGAGGAAAGATAGATTTACTCACCTTTTTACTAGATGAAGAGAAGAGCTTTTGCGTCTCTCTTTTTATCGTTGTATTCATTTTGCTTTGCCTGCAACCAGATTTCGAGTGTTTTTGCATCTTCTAGCTCTCAATAGCCTTCTTATACTATATCCCACAGATCTTGTGAGATAAACAGAGTCTTCATTTAGAGACTCTCTAAATCATAATCATCTCCATATAAAATAGATATTATTAAGTTTTGGGTATAGTTCATACCAGAAGTGGATGCCATGGTAAAAAATTTGCGCTAAGGGGTCTTTGGGAGTACAACCTAGCTCTAATACGAAAAATTTGGTAGGGGAAATAGCAAAAAATGGTAGAGAAGATTAAGAAAAAGGTTTTCTCAATCGAAGTAATTTCACTATTTCATTGAAATAGTTTTAATTCATGCGAGATATATGACCATTGTAGTTTGGAGTAACCACGCTACTATTTACACACTTTTCCTCACGAAGTCGTTCAACTCGACCTGCAGACAACAATTTGTGAGTGGAGGCCTTATTTATAGGCCTACAAGTAAACTTAGCACACATTTTTTAAATAAAAAACTTACCTACAATTATTGGTAAAAAAATGGAGGCTATTTAACACTTACCACATACTATTAAATCAACTATTGAGGCTACCAATTGAATTCAAGGTTGCTGGCCTCACCAATCATGGAATTCAAAGTTTACAGCTCATTGACAGCATCAGCTAACATGGACTACTTTAAACTTTTGTCAACAATGGGGGCTACTAGAAGTTGATTTGAATGATGAATAACAAATTATTATTTTTTAACCATTTGTACCCTATATTATTCTGTAAGTCGTGTATGGCTGCACTTTGTAACCTATATTATAGAGGTAACACACATTTTATATGTTTCCCTCTCCCAATTTGTTTATTCATGATTCTATTATACCCATTTGAACAACCAAATCCTTACATCAACTAAATTATTGATAATCCTACAAAACAAAGAGAAATGTCAAATTACCATAGGAATGTTCAAGACAAGGTAAAACCCCCAAGACATATACACCAGGTCATCATCCAATCACATGTATGTCTCCTACCTCACCAGTTGTGACCTTCTAATATATCTATCAATATGAAAAAGTTAGTAGTGTGAAACATATCATGCATCCCATTGTGCGGTTCATTTCAAATCAGAATTACCCCTCCATCCAATAGTTACCACAATTCCTAAAGTCTTCAGCCACATGCTATCCTGGAGCCATCACTCGCTCTGAGTAAAGAAAAGCAAGGGAACAAGAATTGAGGTTCAGAAATGAACAAAGCTTGGAACCCATTCAAGCGACCCAAAGGAGAGAATTCAATTGTCTTTAGCTGGGCGTATAAGTCGAAGGCCAAGCTAAATAGATCAACAAAAAGATATAAAACCACTGAAAGGAATTGCTTAAAGGTACAGTGTGGATTATCAAGAAACCTCATCCTCTATGGCAAAGATGAAACATTTTGAGGGTGGTGATCTTATACGTACAACAACGTGGGAGAGGATATAACACAAATCATAACAGAATGATCTTGAGATGCATAGAGCAGAGGCAAGGAAATCTGAAGTCAAAATAATTCCTTACAGGGCTTGGTGAACCCATTCCAGCATTGTGTAGACACAACCCTACTGTCTAAAGCTCAACTATTTCCTTCCAACCCCAACTGTTTAAAGTCATATTGATGGGAAGAGTAGCATTAGTTGGAAAAGATCTCTAAGGATGAGATTTGAGAGCAAAAAATGATGATACGGCCAGGTAGAGAGGCTGGGCCTGTGTTGACCTTGGCCCCAGCTCGGATCCAACAAAGTTCCACACAAGCCAAGTCGCCAGCCCCTAACCCGCCCTGAACGATGATACATTATTACTGAAAATTATTAATAATGTATCTAATTGATTCATTATTCTTTTTTTTAGGGGGGGCTTTGGGGGCGGGGGCGGAGGTGGGGGTTTAGATCGATGGGGAAGGGGTTCCCTACCCATCGTAAGAATGAAATTCAAGACTTCATTTTGTGGTACCCACCACCTTGACCACCCAGGCCTTCGATCTATTCCTTATTGATGCATTAGTTTAAGAGTTGATAAATTGAATTTGGTCCAATATAGAGAGATTTAAGGAAGTGGAAAAAGGAAGGTTTACAATTTCAAATTGAATTGCCTGCTAAATTAGAAATACATGAAGAAAATTTGAAGGAAAGTTTTAGGACTCTCATCGAATTTCATACCAAATTAGAAAGAAAGAAAGAAAGAGAAGATAACATAGGTTTTCCAATTGAAATAAATATCTAATTAGAAACAAATAAAAAAGAGATAAGATGAATAGGTTCCGATATAGAAGGCGACAAAAATGATATAAAGAAAGAGTTACAACTTCTAAATGAATTGCCCAGCCCAGCCCACTACATTTGCGGGCTTTCAAATTCAGGTCTGGCCTCTGCAGCTCGCCTTTCTATTCCACCCAGACCTGGCATGTGGCAGACCAGAGGCCTGCTAACTATGTCAGGTGGCCTCACCCACCTGCAGTCCTACAGCCAAGGTGGATCCATTAAGTTGTTGCCATTAGACGGCTCAGCAGTTGAGTAGATCTCAGTTATTAAGCAGTGATTCATTATATATCTCTACTATTGTCTCTCACCTACTGGCCTCACTGAGGGTATGACCCTTACTAGAGTAGAATGGCGGACCAAAATTCATGTAGCCAATCCAAATAGTTGGGAAAAGGCTCTGATCATGATGATGATGCTGATTATCTTGCACCTTCTAATTATTTATCTCTACTATTATGTAACATAGTCATTCGGGTGGGAGCTATAAAGCACTCAAGGAATTTAATTAACTAATTGCAGTATACAATGGTACAATGGGTGGATCAGCTGAAAAGTCAGCTAAAACTTCGTTAAACTTACTACTATGCATATAACATCCATACCCCAATTGTATAAGCAGGATAAAGGAAACAATTCTACTCTCATGTTGATAATGGTTAGTTACGTTCTGTCCTTTTGTAAGTAAAGTTGATCACTAAGCACTTAAAGACTATACACTTTCGAAATAAAATATGATCCCCATTTTCTTTCACATGACTGCCCAACATTCAAGAATGTATGCTAATATACAAATAAATATAGAATCTACCATGAAAAGGAGAAAGTGTAAAGATATAAATTTCTTATATATGAATAACATAATGAGGAACCTCCAAGTTCAAGCAGCCAAACAATAAATAAGTAAAAAAACAAGCTGTTTTAAGAGGACAGGCTTCTCAGTGTTGCTTGAAACATTCAATAAGCAATGAATGATAATTATGACTCCAAGTTCTATAAATAAATAAATAAGCCTAGCTGTGCACTTGCCAATTTCTAAATTAGAAAATGTACTGATATCAACAATGCTTGAATAATAATAGCACCCCCCTCTAATTCAAAGAGCAATCGTCACAATTGCCTATTACTCCAAAAGATTTATGTTGCACCCTCCAATCAAAGTAATCCAAAGTAGGCACATGACAAGACATTGCTCTTAGAAACTCACCTTTAGAACACGATGAACAATAGGAATTTCACGTCCCTGAAAAAAAAAAAAGAGGCATATGATACTAAACTAAACAGAAATTCATAAGATATATCAAGATATGTACAACTAACTGAAAACTAAATAATTAATAATTCATCAGGGAAATGACAAAAATATATTCTAAGGATCAAATATTTTTCCAAGAAGAATTGTCATAAGGTATGATGAGAGATTTGATTTTCCTTGAATTTCTAATGTTGCTAAAAGAGGAAAGGCACAAAAGCCAAAAAAAAAATAGTAACGAAAATTACTGAAAGTTTCATGCACAAAATCATTGCATCCAGGAGTTGGTACATGGCATGGAAAATAGTAGTGTTGCAGAACTATGATGAAAAGGTTAAAAGCATGTTTTAGCTGGTAGTTCTTAGGAATACAGCAATGAGCCAGGGGTATGGGTACAATATTGGCAAATCATTGGTACTTACATGTAAATGTACGTATGCCAAATTTCCAATATGAAGTTCAAAGATGAAAGATGCAACAAAACCCATGAATACCTCAAAATAAAAATGAACAAAATTCTGAATGAGGAAAAAAATGAGGAAAAAGACCGACATGAAATCACAAATGAACAATTGTTGTAACCAAGACAACAAAATCATTACTGTTGACATAGAGCATTGAAAGATTTTTAGGGCAAACAAATGGTGATTGTAACACCTTTATTTCACTCTTTTCGTCATTCCATAATGAAGAATCAAAATATAATTCGGCAGACAGCCCAAATAAAAAGTGTAAAACCAGTGTTCCTGGACACGGTTGAGTTGACTGTGCCTTGCCCTATTGGCGAGGCCGAGTACCCCCGAGTCCATAGTTCACCCTACCTTACAGATGTAGAGTGAACATTACTCGGGCGAGTACTGATAGACTCAGCCGAAACCGTTGCTACCCGACTGAATATGGCATTTCCGTGATAGACTCAGGTGAATCTTATCAGGAAAATTGCAGGATTTTAACAGCAAGATTTTTCTATCCGTTGCGAGCATAATCAGGAAAGTTGTGGGATTTTAACAACAACATAATTGGTATGATTCGATTTGTGTTACAAAAACCCAAATCGATCATTTTTTATCACTAAAAATCATCCGTTTTAGGGTTCTTGAAAGGTGAAGAAAAATTTCATGAAGCTCCTTTTCTCTCTGATTTCTCCACAAAATCGCGTCATAGTTGGTTCTTTTTTAAGCTAATGCAATCAAATTCAAAAGCCCTTTCCACCTTTCGTGATGACATCAGTTAAATTTCTTGTTTCTCTCTCATTACGCAACCATTTTTCCTGATTCTTGGTTTGTTTTGAAGCTAATGCAATCAACTTCAAATGCCCTCTATTGATTCATATTTTTCTTGCTAAAATATCCACTAATTAAATGCACCACAGAGGTATATCAATGAAATGTGCAAAATCTGCTAAATCTGTTGTTTTTCTCTCATTGCTCAACCTTTTTCTCTTATTTTTGGTTTGTTTTGAAGCTACTTCAATCAAGCTCAAAAGCCCTCCACTGATTCTCGTTTTCTTTGCTCAAATGTTCACTAATGCCTTCCAAAATTTTCTAATTCTTAGCCCCAACATTTTCAAATTTTTTAATTTTTTGGATTTTGAAAATACAAAATTGGCTGTAGAAAAAAATTCTTGAGGATTTTTGTAATATTCATCAAATGTCAGAATTTCAAAATCCAAAAATTAACAAAAAACAAATTTTTCGAGGACCATTTTTAGGATTCTCAAGAGCCAAAACAATGTCACGACCTTCAAAATTCCTAAAATGCCCATGCCCTTACTTTCGACAAAAAATTGCAAACAAATGGGGTAAATGAAATTTTGGATTTTAAAGATCTGTAAATTGCAAATAATTTTCGAACTTCGAAAACACAAAAAAGGCAATTTTTGGGGGGGAAAAGAAGAAGAAGAAACCCGAATGGGGGACATGCACGTAATCTACCCCTAATATAATTTCTAGGTATAAATAATTTCTAAAAGTAATATGTGTAAATATTTACTAAATCAGTAATATATATTAATTTCAAGGAAAATAAAAATTTCAGAGTAATTTTCAAATAAGATTACTACATGTAAAATATATTAGATAGAAGATATGAATTTCTGAGTAATATAAACCTAAATTTCTAATTCTAACGAATCTAGACCTTGTTTTGGAAATAATTAATAATAATATTTCATTAGATACTTTACTTGAAATAATTTTTTGCCTTTTAACTAATAGGCCTAAGAGATGACGAGGAAGGATCAATTATGACAGTATCGGGAGAAGCACGATGATGAGGGAAATGGGTGGGTCCAATGTAATTTATTTGGAAGCGAGATGATAGGCGGCATTAATCGCTTGAAACATCACCTCGCTAAAATTCGAGGTGATGTAAAGCCATGTGGCAAGGTGCCTGTAGGTGTTGAGGAGGAGATTCAAATGACAATAGAGATTGACAAAAAGGTAAGAAGGCATAGAGAGAGAGGATCATTGAGGATGTAGGGAGGGAATTTTATCAACCCACTCCCCATGACGAGGAGTTTGAGGCTCAGATGGATTAAGTCAGACAGGCTAGCTTAGCAATGTATAATAATAGGCAAGATGCAAATGGATGAGATGTTTGCTAGACAGGCAGGAACGGCTAGTAGACGGTCTCTCTCGTCTCGGTCGACTGCCACTGGCCGGCCATCTACTACCTACCGACCCCATCTCGACCACGACCCACGATCCTATCTTGACCCCAACCCCCGCCCCAACTTGAGACCTCTACACTTAACCCACATGTACCCCAATAGCATCAAAAGAAACTTAATTGCTCATAGAGAAAAAAAAGACAAAAGCTATAAGGAAGGCAATTGCGAGATTCTTTTATCATTCATACCGCCACCCATGCCTAGCAGCTAAGTCCCACTATTATGGACTTATGGTGACTATTATAGCTAAAGCAGGACCAGGACGATAGCCCTCTACGGTTAAAGAGCTTTCAGGGAAGGTTAAAGAGCTTTCAGGGAAGCTCCTTGATGATGAGGTTACTTTAATACAATCACACATCAAAGAATTAAAATGTTCATAAGATAATACTAGGATACACACTTTATATCACATAGCTGGAAGGAATAGACGAGGGAAGCATATAGTGAATTTTTTGATCTATTATCCACTCTAGTGTAAATCTTTCCCATAAGAGGAAGACATGAAGATTATTATTCAAGGAGCTCGATAAGGTTGTAGAAGATATTGGGAAAAATAAAATGATGCAATTAGTCACAGATAATCACAAAAGCTATATAAAAGGAGGGGAACTCCTGATGGAAAAGAAACCACATTTCGTTTGGACCCCTTGCACTGCATACTCCATAGATCTAATGCTAGAGTACATTTAACAAAATATAGGCGGTGAGCAATTGCATTAAGAAGCCACAAAAGATTACTACATTTATATACAACCACTCTTATATTTTTGCATTAATGAGAGCGCACTGCGATGAAGATCTTGTCAGACCTGCCATCACAAGGTTTGCCACGGCATACCCAACTATAGAAGTGATCCTGAAGCAGAAAAGGGGCTTGAGAGAGTTGGGGGCATCAGCAGAGAGGGCCGTGGCAAACCCCTTTACTGCTTCAAGATCATTTCTACAGTTAAGTATGTCATGATCAACCTTGTGATGGCAAGTCTGACAAGATCTTCATCGTAATGCGCTCTCATTAATGTAACAATATACATGAATGGTTATATATAAGGGTCTGTTTGACAAAATAAAATTTGAATATTCAAATTTATGGAAATTTGAATAAAGCCATTAGGGTGCTTCACATATATATGAATTGTATATTATACAGATATGTCTTTTTCTGTCCATGTTTGATTATATTTTATCAAAAAAAAAAAAGGTGCAAGCAATATGCATCACGCAACTCCGTCTTTCTTCTCTACTTTCACTCTGGTTCATATTATTTTCTCTATCTACTTTCATCTTCACTCTATTGTCTCTCTCAACTCTTGCCTCAGGCTGCTACTTTTAGAGAGAGAACAAGAAGTGCTAAATTGCTCATGGAAAGCGTAATTTTGATCCATAGAAAACAATGAGCATTTTCTTTGTGAAATTCTGAATGAAGCAATGACGAGGAATATGACCTAGCTGTGCATTGCTTTCCCCAAGTTGTTCAAAATTTAGCCTTCCTATCCTATTATATTTTTCCCTATCTAAGAATGAGAGAGAAAATAGATTACTAATATTAAAGAAAGAGAACACCCACCGACCCAGATATTTAAAGCAAAAGGTTTACAAGGTGCAAGTCCAAATGTCTCCAATCCTTGGGCATTTCTCAAAGCTCACAACTTGGATATATCTGTAGTTGCTCCTTAGAACCATGAATTCAGTATCAATGGCAGGGAAATCCATTAAACCTCCAGTTCTATAAGATACCCCTCTTTTATTGAAGCATCATTCATGTTCAATCTCAATACGGGGGAGTAATACCCATCAATAGCAAGCCATATCCTTGTCCTCTTTTGACACCACAATCAGGGTCCAACATGACTCACCCCATGAAAACGCAGTGTGGTGCTTGCTTGCTCTCTTTAAGAGAACAAGAGAAGGTTGGGGTCTCCATCAAAAGAGTGGGGGCCTCTGTTAGAGATGAGAGAGGGAGATCAATGGGGAAAGACACGCAACTTTTTTTTATGGAGAAATAGAATCCCACAAAATTCAACTACGAGTTGAATTCTTGGGCATACAAACTTTTAGAAGATACGATTTATGGGTTATTTCGATATTAGAAGATACGATTTGAGAAATAGAATCCCGCAAAATTTATGGCTTTTTTCGATATTAGAAGATACGATTTGAGAAATAGAATCCCGCAAAATTTATTGGTTATTTCGATATTAGAAGATAAGATTTGATCCAATCAAACTGGGCATACAAACTTTTATAATTCCAATTATAAAAGGTTATATATTATCCATAAATATTAAGATATTAGGATGCTATCAAACATACCCTAAATGTAGTAATCTTTTGCGACTTCTTAATACAACTGATCACCTCCTTTATTTTGCTAATGTACTCTAGCATTAGATAGTGCGCAGCAATAGGGGGTCCAAACTAAATGCGGTCTCTTTTCCATCAAGAGTTCCCCACCTTTATATAGATTTTGTGATTATCTGTGACTAACTACACCGCTTTATCATCCCCAATATCTTCTACAACCTCATTGAGCTCCTTGAACAATAATGTGCTTGTTTGCCTCTTATGGGAAGATCTATACTAGAGTAGAAAAAAATTCCCTTGGGGGCAATAGATCAAAAAATTTACTATATGCCTCCCTCGTTCATCCATATAGGCATCTGACATAAGTGTGACCTCAGTATTATCCCATGACCTTTTTAATTCTTCGATGTATGATTGTATTAGGGTAACCTCATGATTAAGGAGCTTCCCTGTAAGCTCCTTCGCAATAGGAGGCTTGGCTCTTGGCTCAACGTCAGCTATAATAGTCATCATGGGTCGATAATGGGGGACTTAGCAGCTAGAAATGGGATGGCGGTATGATGAAAGCATCTCGCAATTGCTTTCTTATAACTTCTGCATTTTTTCCCCCATAACAGATTAAGTTTCTTCTAATGATATTGAAGCACATAGAGGCCAAGTCTAGAGGTCTCGCGTTGAGGTGGGGATCATGGTGGTTATAGGATCAAGAGCCAGGGTATCGGTAGGTAGAAGATGGTCGGCCAGTGGCAATAGACTGAGACGAGAGATCATCTCAGCACTAGAGGCTAAGGAGGTACAATAGATTCCGGAGTGTGAGTATCAGATGTTCCTGTCCGTCTAGCAAACATCTCGTTGATGTGCATCTGCCAATCATGATAGGCTGCTAAACTAGCATACCTGACCTACACCATCTGAGACTCAAAACTCCTCCTCCACATAGGGAGTGTTGATAAAATCTCCCCTACATCCTCAGTGACAATGATCATTTCTTTGTTCCTTCCTCCCTTTCGCAATCTCTATTTCCTTTCAAATCTCCTGCTTACAGTCAAGCACTTGTTACATGGCTTTATATCACCTCGAATTTTAGCAAGGTGATCTTTCAAGCAAGTAATGCCACCTGTCATCTCCCTTCCACATAAATTACACCGGACCCACCCCTTCCCCTTATCGTTGAGCTTCTCCCCATACTATGAAAATCGATCCTCCCTCATCATCTCTTATGCCTACTAAAGGCGGAAAATTATTTCAAGTAAAACATATAATGAAACATGCATTAATTATTTCCAAAACAAGGTCTACAATACGTAGAGTTAGAAATTTAGGTTTATATTACGCAGGAATTCATATCTCCTTTCTAATATATTATACATAGTAATCTTACTTGAAAATTACTTTGAAATTTTGTTTCCTTTCCATATAGGTCTATACAACTTGGAAATTAATATATATATTACCGATCTAGTAAATATTTACACCTATTGCTTCTAGAAATTGTTTACAGATTTTCAAAATCAAAATTTTCATTTACCCCATTTGTTCGCAATTTCTTGCCAAAAGTAGTCCATGAGATTTTTATGATTTTCAAAGTCCGTAAACTTTTTTTTCCATTTTGGCTTTTGAGAATCTAAAAATGGTCCTTAACAAAGTTTTTTAATTTGTAATTTTCGAATCTTGCAAATTACACATTTGATTAATAATAAAATAATTCTTATGGGAATTTTATTTCCTATGACCATTTTTGTACTTTCAAAATCCAAAAAATAAAAAATTTCATATTTTGACAATAGAAAAATGCTTGGGTAAAAAGATTAGAAAATTTCGGAAGGCACCCCTCTTTTTCTCATTGGTGCACATTTGAGCATAAAAAACGAGAATAAGTAGAGGGCTTTTAAAGTTGATTTCAATAGCTTCAAAACAAATCAAGAATCACGAAAAATGGTTGAGCAATGAGAGAAAAACAACAGATTTTGCGGATTTTGCACAGTTCATCAATATACCTCTGTGATGCACTCCATCAGTGGATATTTGAACCTAAAAAACACGAATTGGTAATTACTTCAAAAAAAAACGTGAATCAGTAGAGGGCATTTGAAGTCGATTGCATTCGCTTCAAAACAAACCAAAAATCAGGGAAAATGATTGAGTAATATGAAAGAAACAAACATTTTACACAGTTCGCTGATATACCTCTATGAAGCACTCAATCAATGGATATTTGAGCCAAAAAAAAAGAGAATCATTAAAGGGTTCTTGAATTTGATTGCATTAGCTTAAAAAATAACTAACTATGATGTGAATTTGTGGAGACATCAGAGAAAAAAAAAGCTTGGTGGAAATTTTGTCCATCATTCAAGACACCTAAAATGGATGATTTTTAAATTTTTTATGATCAAAACATGATCGATTTGGGTTTCTTTAAAGGCAAATTGAATCATATCAATTATGCTACTGTTAAAATCCAGCAGCTTTCGTTATTAAGCCTCCAATGGAATGAAAATTCCTGTTGTCAAAATCCTGCAATTTTAGTGATAAGATTCACCTGATTCTATCACGCAAAATGCCATACTCGGGCGAGTAGCAGCGATTTAGGCCGAGTTTATCAGTACTCGCCCGTGTAATGTTCACTTTGGATGAACCATGGACTTTGGGGTACTCAGCCTCACCAATAGGGCGAGGCCGATTAACTCGGCCGAGGCTGAGTCGATTCAGCCAAGTGCAAGAACGTTGGTGAAAGGTGACTCAAAAAATGTTACTATCTGGGGCAAATGGACATACAACCCCATGGAGACTTGCCATCTTTATGAACATATCTTCACACTTCGCAGGGGGGCACGAGTCATCTTCAACCACATCCCCAGGGAGGCCAATGCTTAGGCTGGTCACCTCGCAAAACAAGGGGCAACCTTATACCATCAGAAGCAGTCACATGATGATCTTTTCCTCTTCTTTCTATGCTTTCTCTATCTCCTCTCCCTTCCTGCCTTCTCTAATTCTTCTTCTCACCAACCCTCACTTTGTCTTTTTCCTCTCTTAGCACCTATGTCCCACTACTCTGCCTTTTTAACAGCCTACCTCTCATGGATAGGAAATATTTTCCTTTTTATTATTTCATTTTCTTTTTTTCCAAACCCCGTCTCTTGTGCATAACCCAAGGGTTTCCTTTTTTGTACTATAATTGCACATAAAATACAAAGTCAATGTCCATCCAAAACAAAGTAAAAAGAAAGAAAGCAAGAAAGAAAAACAGTATTTGTTGCAGCAACAAAATTGGTGGTTCCCCTTGATTTTGTTACATCATACTGATAATGCACTTCAGTCATTCTTAAGAAAGAGGGATCAAGATCAGTTTCTAAATGCAACAGGCAAAAAGAATCAAGAAATATTAAAATTTCTTGAGACTTAAGGTCCAGTGTTAACAGCATAACTGGGCATACAAATATGTAATAACCTCAAGCCAATGAAAGGAGGGTGACAGGAAGCTTACATCAACATGAAATACGACAATTTCTCCAGTACGAATGGGATCTTTACTCATGTGCAAGAACAATATATCACCCTAAAAATAAAGGAAAAGTTAGTGAAACAAAATCCATGCCAACCAATAACAAATGATATATCATCAATGCCA